GGAGGAAAGGGGGTTCTGTGTTTGTTTTTCAGACAAAGACAGCTGTCATTCTTCAGCTTAGTTTTCTGGCGTGTGTGGCCCCACCATTTTTCAGACATATTTTATTTCAGGGAGTGGAGGAGATAACAGGATAAGAAGCCTTGAGGCGGAGCCTCAGGCTAGCCGTCTTGGACCTTGGCAGGCAGGAACCCCAAAAGCCAGGCCACTGCTAGGAAGCAATAAGGCCAGTCCAGGCCTGACCTGAGGGCACCATGCTTCGGTGCATTGTGACTGACCAGGACAAAGAGGAGTTTGTATCCTTTAATCTGGCCTGGGTGCACAGATATCTGCTAAGGCAAGACCCAAGAGCCAGTCTCTTCATCCCAGCCCTTGTTTGAGGGATAGTGGGAAGAGGAGAGAGAGGAGCCATGCCTGTGAACCCTGAGCGGGAGGGGAGGAAGTGGGAGGGCACCCGTGTCTCCCAGGAGAAGCTGAGATATGTTTTATGCTTCAGGCTTTTTCACCATAGCTACTAGTTGGAGCTAAGTGGACCAGCAAAAAAAACAAAGAGAGAAAGAAGGATGAAGGAAGGAAAAAACCAAATGGGACACAAAATAAGTCAATTTTGTTACCTTATTAAATGTAATATTTACTCTAACTATATCTAACAGACATTTAGTTTCTTATATAAGCCTATGAGAGTGCTGGGCATGGAGTCAGAAAGACCTGAGTTCAAATTCAGCCTCAGACACATAGTAGTTGTGTGACCCTGGGCAAGTCACTTAACTTCTGTCTGCCTCAGTTCCTTACCTGTAAAATGGGGATAATAATAGCACCTACCCCTCAGAGTTATTTTATTGTGAGGATCAAACAGTATAATATATACTTTGCAGATCTTAAAGTGCTGCATAAATGCTATCTGTTGTTGTATTAAAATGTGTGTGTGTATGTTTATGTTTAAGACTGGGTCTCCCTATCTCTCCCAGGGGCTGCTCATTCTGTACAGCATGGGAGCTCTCACCTGCTCCATTTCCAACCTGGGTTAGGTTGCTCCTTCCCACTCCGACCACAACCCCAGGGACTCACTATATTAATGTCAAACTCATCTGCTTAGCTCACCCTCTCTCAGAATTCCCAAGCTCAGGAGATCCTCCAACCCCAGACTTCCTGGCAGCAGAGATTACAGGCATGGACCACCACTCCCAGATTGTGTTTGTTTATTTATTTACTTTTAAATTAATTTATTTTTAGTTTTCAACAATCATTTCCATACGCTTCTGAGTTTTACATTTTTCTCCCCCTCCCTCCCCAAGATGGTGTGTGATCTGATATGGGCTATACATATACCTTCCTATTAAATGTATTTTCACATTAGTCATGTTGTAAAGAAGAATTAGAACCAATAAGAGGAACCACAGGAAAGAGGAAACAAAACTCAACAGAAGAAAAAATAGCAAATGGTATGCTTCGATCTGCATTCAAACTCCATAGTTCTTTCTCTGGATGTGGATAGCGTTTTCCATCATGAGACTTTTGGAGATGTCTTAGATCCTTGCATTTTGCTGAGGAGGATTAAGTCTATCAACGTTAGTCATCACACCACATGGTTGTCACTGTGTACAACGTTCTCTTGGTTCTGCTCACTTCACTCAGCATCAGTCCATACAAGTCTTTCCAGGTTTTTCTGAAGTCCACCTGCTCATCATTTCTTATAGCACAATAGTATTCCATTACATTCACATACCACAACTTGTTCAGCCATTCCCCGATGGATGGTCATCCCCTCCATTTCCAATTCTTGGCCACCACAGAAAGAGCTGCTATAAATATTTTTGTACATGTGGGTCCTTTTCCCATTTGTATGATCTTTCTGGAATACAGCCCTAGAAGTGCTATTGCTGGGTCAAAGGGTATGCACATTTTTATAGCCCTTTGGGCTTAGTTCCAAATTGCTCTCCAGAATGGTTGGATCATTTCACATTGTGTTTATTTTTTAAAATAAAGTGTTTACTGGTATTTTTATCCCAGAGAGCCATTCCTTATAATTCTTTATTATAAACAGTCGAGCAAGAAAAGTCTGACATGAGAGGCCATGCTCCACACCCATAGCCCCCCACCTCTGCACAGGAGAAGAGGTCCTCACTCACATCTTTCCCTGGGGTCAAGCTTGGCCATCCCCCCTTCCCAGCATTCAGGCTTGGTTGGCTGATTGCTGTTTTTTCCCCAAACATTGGAGTCATTCGCAGGGAGCCGAGCAGGACTTCTGTCTTAGCATTTTACCATGGAACTGAAAGAGAAGAATGGAGGTGACTCAGTGTTCTCAGCCCATGAACCCCGTGCCGTTCATGGATTCTCTCGGTTTGACTCTCCACTGTGGCCTTGAAGTCTCCGCTTCTTCCCCCTCAGTCTCTCTTGCAGACTAAAAACTTCCAGATGTGACTCATCCCATTATCCCAGCTCCGAGATTATACATCCCCACTCCTTCTCATAGATGAGAGGGGATGCTCATCCCTCTGAAATTCAACTCCAACTATGCAGGTCATTTATTAAACCCCATCATTTGTATGGCCGCAGGTCATGCTGGTCTGAAGGATTCTGTGACCTGCCTGTCAATCAGGGTGGATTGTCATGGAACTGGATCCAGCCTGGGAGCCATTTTAACCTCCTCAGGACAGTACATTTCACTTAGACCTGGGAATGTGCCCAGTATTTGACCTCAAGGTCAACATCACCTGAACAAAGTTGGGCTTGGGTCTGGTCCTCTTTTTGTGATCCTTTGCCCAGAGATCCTTCTTTCCCCCTCTCCCCCACAAGGGTGCAGGTCCTTCCTATCCTTGAGTTATGGGACATTGCCAGGGTCTGTCTGACTGTGGCTGATCAGGTCAATATGAACTCAGAAGGCTCTTCCACAAGTCAGGTACAAATAGTCTGTGTGAACATTTGGAATGGAGATGCCTCTAAACTTGTGCATCTCACATTTCTTTTGTATACCAGTTCTCTAAAGGCTGCCCACTCCTTTTCTGATCTGCTCTTGCCAACTGTGTGTTGGCTCAGTGTTCCTCCAAGGTGGCAACAAACTTGGAGAAGTTCTCTAATCTGTTGACATTTGGTCTTCTGGTAGCTGTCTTTCTGTGGAGCCACCACTTCTGTTGAATTCGGATGGTTAGCTTGGGGAAGATAAGTCTATGATTGGTCTAGTACTCTGTGCCACATACTGCCTTACTCAATCTCACATCCTGTCTCTTCTCCTTACAATGACATAGTCTGTTAAAGGCCAAGAGGGTGCCTCCACACAGTTTTATCATCCCTCATTTAGGGATGACAGTGTTGGTGATGAGGTCATAAGATGCACAAGTCTGCAGTAGTAAGTGACTATTTGTTTCGGACTCTTTCCTTCCAGGGGCTCCCTGCCACGTCTGATAGTCTGAGCCTACTCTAGCATTAAAGTCACCCAGAATTATAAGAATGCCCTCTTTAAGCACATTGATGAGGGGGGTCTCCAGGTCTTCATAAAATTTTTCTTCAACCTCATCGGGGTTCATCATAGTGGGAGTATAGGCACTGAGGATGGTGGTGTGGAGCTTTCTTGCAGGCAGCAATCACACTATCATAAGCCTGTCATTCATTCCTTTTGGGAGGCATACAAGCTTGGTGACTAGATTAGTTTTGATTGCAAATCCTGCCAGCTTCACAGTGCTCCCCATCACTGTGGCCTCTCCAGAAAAACATGTACCCAGCTCCGACTTCGATGAGCTGGCCTTGTTTCACTCAGCGCTGCTGAGTTCTCCTGCACCAAGAGCTGTGCGTCTTCCAGCTCTGCCGGATTTTGTGTGGTCTGTAAGTGTGCACACATTCCGTGTGCCAATGGGGAGTGGAATCGTCGTTGCAGACGTCTTTGCACGTTTTTGTGTGTTTCGACCACAGGGTAGGAGCCTCACGTGCCGAGGTAAGCAGCCAGGGTTGGGTGAAGCAGACAGTTCAGAGACAACTTTTCTAGCCTCTTCCTCACACCAGGAGGTGTGAGCCCTTACAAGGCTGCTCAGACACCCAGGGGCTGCCCAATCCCAGTGTTGCTTCAGTCCAGCAAGAAGCCAAAAGTCAAGACTGCTGGCTGCATTCAAACATGTCCCCGTGAGCCAGGGAGGGGAAGACCTTGGCACTTAGAAGCGGGAGATCAGGACCCAGACCAGGGAAGACGAGGCTGAGAGATGGGCTGGGCAGCAGCCTCACCTCTGATTGGGTCACAGATCGAGACCCGCCCCCGCATCCTGGCCAATGGGCGCAAGAGCCGTGAAACTGTTCCGAAGCCAGGGGCGGATTGTGCGCACGCTCCACAGAGCCCCTGCCCATCCTGGCCTAGGCCCCTAGAGAGCCCCTCTGGACAATGTATCCCCATCTCTTTGAGTCGCGAGTGATCGGGGCGGCGGGGTGCCCAGGCTGCCCAGTCCCCTCTCGCCCCCCAGATCCTCCGCCCCCGACGTGATCGGCTCATTTTGTTGAAGAGGATTTGTCTCAACCTAACAGGGCCGAAGCGGGTGGCTGCGGAGCATGCGCACGAGTTACTCCTGGAGCCCGAACTACGCCTCCCAAAAGGCCTTGCGACCGCAGGGGCAGACCTTCGCGTCCCACGTGATTCCCTTCTCGAGCTTTTACCGGAACCGGAAGTTGCCGCTCTTGAGCGCTGCACCTGCTTCGCATCCTGCTCTGGGAGCCCCAGAGAGGGTGACCCCAAAGGGGGCGGCCCTCGAAGACGCCGCCCGTGGTGTGGAAGCATGTAAGATCCTCGAGGGGAGCTCCAGCGCCCTGGGAACGGCCCCCAGCCCGTGTTCCCTTCACCCCAGGAGTCCCTGATTCCTCCGGCCTAGGCCCTGGAACCCCTCCCCCGGGAGCCCTTCCCCCTTGGGACCTCACCCCCCTTGGCTTCTTCCCCGGGGCCCCGCCTTCCCCCCCCCCCCGCGCCCCCCCCCCCCCCCGTGTCCTCGAGCCCCTCTTCTCTGGGCCCCCCAGCCCCTTCCCCTTGACCCCCTTGAACGCCAGAGCCCCTCTCCCCGAAACCCGAGTGACCCCCCCCAGCCCCCTCTGGACTCGATGCTGGGGGAGCCACAGAACCGAGGGGCGTCGGACGTTCCTCTTTGTCCCCTTTTCATCCCAGCGTCGTTGCCCCTCCCGGCTGGCGGGAGCCCTGAGGAGGCAGAAATGGCCTCTGGACGCCTGACGGCCGGAGCCCGCCAGGTGAGTGGGAGGAGCGTCCTTGGAGTGTCATTTCCCGAGTGTCCTGGGACGGATGGACTGCACCCGGCACCCCGGGGCCGTCACGGCATCATTCACGTTGATTTGGAGGGGACGCGGTCAGTCCAGACGTCATCCAGCGTTCTGCCCCTGCTGTGAGCCAGGCCCGGTGCCGGGTGCCGGGGATCCGAAGGGAAAGGCGAGCCTCTGTCGTGGAGGAGGCACGTGCAAGTGTAAAAGGAGTTGGGTCCCATCAGTCAGTCTGTAAACGTTTGTTTGAACTACCATCTCTTTGTTCCTGGCATTTTCTCCCGATGTGTTGAATTGGGTATTCTCCCAAGTGTATTGAAACAGTTATCAAAATATATTTTTAAAAAATCACAGACCCCAGGTTAAGGACCCCTGTCCTAAAACACAGTTTATCAAAATGAAAAAAGCATCTTAGATGTGACAGGACCAGGACAAAGCATATAAAAAACACAACCTTTGTGATTCTGGACGCTTCATCTCTTCTTAATGTATCAGAATTAGCTTTTTTTTGACCACGTCACACTGCTGACTTATACTAAATCAAAGTCAATCAATCAATTCATGGAATCAATTCCATGCCTGGAATGCTCTCTCTCTCAACTCTGCCTCCTAGTTTCCCTCACTTCCTTTAAGTCCCAACTAGACTCTCACATTCTACAGGAGACCTTTCCCAATCGTCCTTATTCAAGTACCTTCCCTCTATTAATTATTTCCTATTTACTCTTCCTAGATCCATCTATACATGCATATGTGTGTGTGTGTATATATGTATATATATGCATGTATGCGTATATCTCTCCACACACACAGACACTTTATATCTTCTTTGTACACAGTTGGTTTCATGTTTTCTCTCCTCATCGACTGTGAGCTTTTCAAGGGCATGGATTGTATTTTGCTTCCCTTCATATCCCCGGTGATTAGCATAGTGCCTGGCTCATAGTAGGTGCTTAATAAATGCTTATTGATTGATTGACTTTGATTTAGTATAAGTCAGCAGTGTGACGTGGTCAAAAAAAAGCTAATTCTGATACATTAAGAAGAGATGAAGCGTCCAAAATCACAAAGGTTGTGTTTTTTATATGCTTTGTCCTGGTCCTGTCACATCTAAGGTACTTTTTTCATTTTGATAAACTGTGTTTTAGGGCAGGGGTCCTTAACCTGGGGTCTGTGATTTTTTAAAAATATATTTTGATAACTGTTTCAATATACTTGGTCTCCTTTGTAATCTTATGTATTTAAAACATTTTGAGAAAGAGATCCATAGGCTTCACCATAGATGATCCAAAGTAGGAGAGGTCCAGGACACAAAAAACGGTTAAGAACTTCTGTTTGAGGGTATTACATTTTAAGAAAGATAGAGAAGCTTTGGTGGAGAGCATGATAGGCGAACAGCTGGTCACCTGTGTGAAGGACTGTCACGTGGAAGGATGAGCCTTGTTCTTCTGGGCTCCAGAGCAAGAGACTAAGAACGTCGGTAGGAAGTTGTGGAGAGGCAGGTGAAAGATTTCAGTTGGTTAAAATCAGGATAAACATCCCGACAGTCAGGGCCCTCCAGAAGTTCAGTGGGCACTTAGGAGGTGTTGGCAGTCCTCTCAAAGGGCCCACTCAGGCAGGGACTGGAGGACCATTTCTTGAAGAAGTCCCAGAAGAGGATTTTGGTTAGGTTAGGCTAGAGGGCCTCTTAGCTGTTCATTGGAATAATGAGCACCCATGCCCTTGTTTTGTAAGGTTGTTGTGAGGAAAGGACTTTGTAATCCTGGAAGTATAATCTCTCTACTAGTAGCTTTGATACTTCTTCTGCATGACTTCCTTTGATGGTCTGTGTTTCAACCAGAGCGTTCCAGCAAGAATTCCATAGTGTAATGCCCTCCCTCCTCATCTCCACCTTTTAGAATCTTTCTTCAAGACTCAGTTCAGGCTGTCCCTCCTCCACGTGCATGTGGCTTCCTCTTCAGATTTGCCAGGTACTAGTGTTTTCCCCTCTGAAATTAATGAGTTTTTGAGTTTTCATTTCTGTCAATATTTAGGGTGCTGGTGTCCCCTTCTCCTCCAGGATGATGAGGCTGCTTGCAGACAGCTTTTGAGTCTTTTCTGTCTTTACATCCCCAGTGCATAGCTCTGTGCCTGGCACTCAGGCCAGACCGGCATTCATAAATGTTTACTGAATGAACCGGTGAATGAATGACGCATGATGGACATTCTAGTTCAAACTTAGGTACATCGTAGGTGCTCAGTAAATATTTGACTTGGAACACCTTGAAGTTTGAACATTGAGAACCACTCCTAGCAGTTCCTGGGCAACCACATCTTTCTTCTCTAGGGTGATCCTTGAGGACCCACAAATGTGTCTGATGTTTCAGGAATTGTTAACCTTCAGAGATGTGGCTGTGGACTTCACCCAGGAGGAGTGGGGACACCTGCACCCTTCTCAGAAGGATTTGTATAGGGATGTGATGCTGGAGAACTACAGGAACCTGGTCTACCTGGGTAAGCACAGCTTCCCCTCTGTCTCCGAATCTGCTTGTTGGAGGGGCTTTGCTTTCTTCAAACTTAGTACATGTTGTGGGCTTTCTGGAGTCTTTTTTACTTCACGTTTTGCCTAACGGTTATTAATCCTTGTGGCCAAATGCCAGGGTATTTTTGCCTGTTGCGAGGAAAAAAGCCTTTGTTTTATACAGCTATCAAGTGGTTGGTTGTGTGGCTTGCACCTCCTTTACTCTCTGTTCCCTCAGGTCAAAGATTCTCCCCAGTGTAGTTCTCTGAAGACATGAAAGGTGTCTGTCCTTTTAGCATGGTGTGCATCAAATGAGTTAATTTTCTACCTGAGTACAAATCTGGTCTGTGACCCACTTCCCCATACTTCTAGGTAACAGGAAGGGAGCATCTCACAACAATCCTTTGTCATACCCTTTGGGCTTTCCTGGCAGGTTCACTTTTCCCGAGAGAGAGAGAGAGAAAGGACGTAGGAGATGCTTAATAAATGTTCGTTGGGTTAGATTGAATTCGGAGATAGTTCTCTGAACCCAGCACTTTCTGTTTCCAATAAATAGGACTTGTAATTTCCAAACCAGATATGATATATCATTTGGAACGAGGAGGAAAACCATGGATGCCAGAGGGAGATGTCTTAAGAAGCACCTGTCCAGGTGAGTGAATGAGTGACCTTGACATACCACATCACGACGGGTTGTTCACAGGAAGCACTTTTAAAATGTGGATCCGGAAAATTGCCCGTGATTCCCTCCCCAGGAATGTGGGGAAGAGCTGATCTCTGGCAGGAGAGCCTTCCTAGAGCCCCAGTCATTTTCACTGTTTTCCTGTTGTGTATTCATAGTCTGTTTCTACTACCAGGAGCCCTTGTTGTATTTCTCTTGCTTTGCATTATTTCATAAAGGCTCGTCCACATTTCTTTGTGTTCTCCAACTGGTCAGCTTGAGGAGTGTGTGCTAGCATTCTATGGTAACAGTTTGCTCGACATTACTTAACCATTCCCTACTTTGACATTTCTTCCAGGTCCCAACACTTTGTGTTGGTTTTGTCCCAGTTCTGTGATTTCATTTGATAGGAAACTACTGATTTTGCATCTCCTCCATCCCTGCAGATTTACGAGTACTGCAGTCATGAGAATCTTTATGGAGCTAGTTCAAAAAAAAAAGTTATATACTGAACAGTTATTATTTTGTCACTTTTACTGCATATTGCCAGATTGCTCACCATATACTTTCTACAAGTCTTAAATTCTACCATAAATGAATGAGTGTACCTGTTTCTACAACCCTGGCATTGAGTTTTGTTGCTTTTAATTATCTCTGCCAAAGTATTGGGTATGAGGATCCTCAGAGTTGTTTAATTCATGCCTCTGATTAAAAGTAAAGTCCAGCCGTTTTTCAGTTGACTTTTAAGTTTGTCTTTCCCCTTTTGAAATTTTCTGTTCATATTCTTTGAGCATTTATCCATTGTAGACTGGCAGTTCTCCTTGCAAATTTTTAATATTTGCTTATACATTTAATAATACCATATACCTTACCTCTGACAGTTACTAACTATGTGACTATGGGCCTTATCAATTATTCTTTCTCAGCCGTAGGCAACCAATACTCTTAAGTTATGGATGGGTTGCAGCCAGTATTGGTGGAGGAAGGTAGTTTCCACAGTTAATGAAATCATAGGTCTTTGAGATGTTGACTTTACATATTTTACACGTGAAATTGTTCTTCTTGTTTGTGCCATCAACAGCACTGTGAGAATATTTGTATGTAAGATATGAACCTTTGTTTCAGGGAGAAGTTTGGGGATATTAAGAGAAATTTTCGTTTCCCAAAGTCTTTTCTCCCTTTTCTCCTTTTCAGTTATTGGCCCAACTTAATATTTTTTTGCTGTGTCCATCCCTCCAAGATATGAGTAAATATATAAGGTCCCAAAAGACTTACTGTAGTTTTAAGCTTTAAAGCTGTATTGTTGGATAACTTCTGTAGCTCGTCCATGTAACTGCGTGTTAGGGTGTGGACAATAGGCATTTTTCATCCACCCGGTTTGCCCTGCATGGGTAGGTAGGCCAAACTCTTTTTTTTTTTTTTAATTTTTAACATGTGTTTTTAAAACTTTGGGTTACAAATTTTCTCCCTTCCTCCCTCCCCACCCACCCTCATTGAAAAGGCAAGCATCTGAATACAGGTTATAGATGTGTAGTCATGTAAAAACACTTCCATAGTAGTCCTGTTGTGAAAAACTAAGTATATTTCCCTTTATTCTGTCCTACCCCCCATTTATACTATTCTCTCTTTTGACCCTGTCCCTCCTCAGAAGTGTTTGCTTTTGATTATCCCCTCCCCTAATCTGCCCTTCCCTCTATCAACCCCCTGCTCTCTTGTCCCCTTCCCCCCTTATTTTCCTGTAGGGTAAGATAGATTTCCATACCCCATTGTGTATGCTATTCCCTCCTTAAGCCAAATCCTATGAGAATAAGATTCACTCATTCCCTCTCACCTTCCCCCATTTAAGCCTTTTCTTGTCTGTTTCATATGAGATATTTTACCTCCTTCTCCTTCTCCCAGTATAATCCTCTCTTACCCCTTAATTTTATTTTCCAGATATCACCCCTTCATCTTCAACTCACCCTGTGCCCTCTATTTATCTATCTATCCATACATACAATTTTTTTCCATCCCACTACCCTAATACTGACAAAGGACTCATGAGTTACAAATATCATCTTTCCCTGCAGGAATGTAAACAGTTCAGCCTTAATAAGTCTCTTATGATTTCTCTTTCCTGTTTACCTCTTCCATGTTTCACTTGAGTCTTATATTTGAAGGTCAAATTTTTTATTCAGCTCTGGTCTTTTCCACAGGAATGCTTGAAAGTCCCTTATTTCATTGAATGGTACCCTGAAGGATTATACTCAGTTTTGCTGGGTAGGTGATTCTAGGTTGTAGTCCTATCTCCTTTGCCCTCCAGAATATCATACTCCATGCCCTTCGGACCCTTAATGTAGAAGCTGCTAAATCTTGTGTTATCCTGATTGTGTTTCCACAATGCTTGAATTGTTTCCTTCTGGCTGCTTGCAATATCTTCTCCTTGACCTGGGAATTCTGGAATTTGGCTACAACATTCCTAGGAGTTTTCCTTTGGGGATCTCTTTTAGGAGGTGATTGGTGGATTCTTTCAATTTCTGTCTTGCCCTCTGGTTCTCAAATATCAGGGCAGTTTTCCTTGATCATTTCTTGAAAGATGATGTCTAGGCTCTTTTTTTGATCATGGCTTTCAGATAGTCCAATAATTTTTAAGTTCTCTGTCCTGGATCTATTTTCTAGGTCAGTTGTTTTTCCAATGAGATATTTCACATTCTCTTCTATTTTTTCATTCCTTTTGATTAGTATTACAGTGCCTTGATTTCTCAAATTGTCACTAGCTTCCAATTTCTCCATTCTAATTTTTAAGGAAGTATTTTCTTCAGTAAGCTTTTGGACTTCCTTTTCCATTTGGCCAATTTTGCTTTTTAGGGCATTCTTCTCCTCATTGGCTTTTTGGACCTCTTTTGCCATTTGGGTTAGACTATTTTTTAAGGTGTTATTTTCTTCAGGATTTGTTTGGGTCTCCTTTAGCATCACTCTCATTTTTTCCTCTACTTCTCTTACTTGCTTCTCAAAATTCTTTTTGAGCTCTTCCAGGGCCTGGGACCAATTCATATTTTTCTTGGAGGCTTTGAATGTAGGAGCTTTGGCTTCATTGTCTTCTGGTTGTATGTTTTGATCTTCTTTGTCATCAAAGTAGGATGATATAGTCTGACTCTTTTTGCGCTGCTTGCTCATGATCTCAGCCAATTACTTGAGTTATAAACTCTTTGTTAAGGTAGGGGGTCTGTTTCCAGTGTGGAGAGTGTACTATCCCAAGCTTCAGGGGTTTTGGGCAGCTGTTTTCAGAGATACTTCTAGGGACCTGTAAATTTTCAGTTCTTCCAAGGTACTATGATCAAGGGTGAGGTGTTTACTCCTTTCCTACCCTGTGCTCTTGTCTATGAGCACTCTTTTCTGTCTTGGAACTGTGAGGAGGGTTTCCTCTCCACAGCCACTACAAGCTCCCCCACGCCAGCGTTCCTCCTCACCTCAGGACCTCCACCCAGAACTGTGACCCAGATCCAAGCAAGAGATTCTTGCCGCAGCAGAGAGATCCCTGCAATCCCCCTCTGATCAGCCACTCAATTCCCCCTCAGTCTGTGGGCCAGAAGCTCAGGAGGCAGCCGCCGCCCTGGGCCGCGCTCAGAAAATGGGGCTGGAATCCCACCGTTGTCTCTCAGCACTGCAGAAACAGACTTTCCCACTGACCTTCTAAGTTGTCTTCGGCATTCATGGGTTGAGAAGTCTTTAAACCGCCACAGCTGCCTGTGATTCAGTCTTCTGAGGCCTACTCCAGGTTTGCTGAGGCCTGCGCGCCCACGCCAAACTGCGTTCCTCTCCCCGCCCGGCGCAATACACCTTTCTGATCAGTCATCCAGGCTGTCTTTGGCTGGAAGTTTGTTTCACCCTGCTTTTTGTGGGTTCTGCTGCTTTAGAATTTGTTTAGAGCCATTTTTTATAGGTATTTGGAGGGGTGTGGGGGAGAACTCAAGCAAGTCACTGCTTTCCCTCTGCCATCTTGGCTCCACCCCTAGGCCAATCACCCCTAAATGATTAAGGATCTCATCCAGGAGTCTCTCTAGCATTCTGGGACTTGAAGACATGGACGCATGTGAAACAGTGAGCATCTGGAGCATTTCACTGTTTACGGAAAATCCCTCCTCAGCTTGGTCTTTGCCCTGGATCTCCCCCGCAATAGTGGTGAGCCCTTTTGACAAGCGTTAGTCTCCCTCTTCTGCCTGCTCTGCTACTCACAGAATTTCAGAGTTGGAAGGGACTTCAGCAGCCGTCTACTTTAACGCATATGGGAGAGGAGACCTCACCATAACACGTCTGACAAGTAGCCGACTCTTTAATAATTGTATTTCCTGAATAAATGTATATTTATGAGTTTTCTAACTGAAAAAAAAAGACCTCTTCTCCATTATATCCTTCAAGGAATCTTGTACAGTTTAAACAATTGTCTTATTTTTATTAATCCATTTTATTTTTACTTCATATTTATTTCTGAATAAACCTCTTCCCACTCTTCTACCAAACAGGCTTTCCCTTATAAGATGAAAAAAAAAGAAGGAAAAAGAGCAGTTCAAAACTAATATTCTTACCCTTTGATATCATATATGTATATACTATTCCACTCCTGGAATCTCTCCTCTCTGCAATGAAGGGAGGGAAGTACATGTGCTCAACTCTTCTCTGGGCCATCTTTAGCCATTAAAATTGCACATGGTGTTGCATTTTTTTAGTTACTGTGTATTTTGTTCTCCTTACTTCCTTCTAACACAGGCCTGTACAACTTGTGCTTATGGCCCTTGGGGCGCTTATAGGATTTCCTCTGCAAACAAAGGATGTTTTCCTCTACATTTTTCAGGGCGCATGAAATCCTTTGGTGTGCTGTAAGCAGCCTGAGAGCTGGAAGTTGTGCAGACCTGCTCTAATGGTTCACATATGTCTTTTCTTGCTTCTCTGAATTCTTTGTATGTGTCATTTTTTAAATGAAGTAGTATCCTTTTATAGGAATGTATCTTAGCCATTCCCCAGTAGAACCTACCAATTTTCTTCCATCAGAAAAATGCTAGTATGAATATTTTGATAAATGGTGAAACTTCCTTTCTGTCTTTGACTTTGTTGTGTTTGTTTAAGCATCAGTGTAAAAGCTTATTATAATATACAAAAATAACATGGGATTATATGTTGTATATTTTATTGTTTGATGGTCTTTACTGATGGAGGAGATAGAAGATAGGACCAAGTGTAATGCAAGAAGAAATGGAATATTTACATTTTTCTGTCTTTCAGGCTGGGAGAGAAGGCCTGAAATCAAACAGTCAGTCCCAAAGCTGGACATTTCTCTGGATGAGTTATGCCAGGAAAACCTCGTAAGGGATGGTACCTGTGCCTCCGAGTTGAGACAAACCTGGGAATGTGGTCCCCAGTTAGAGAGGAAACAGAGCAATGAGGAAAAATCTCATGAATGTAGTGAATGTGGCAAGGCCTTCAGCCAAGGAACACATCTGACTCAGCATAGGAAAATTCATACTGGAGAGAAATCTTATGAATGTAATGACTGTGGGAAGGCCTTCTGCTGGAAGATAGACCTTACTCGACATCAGACTATCCATAGTGGTGAAAGACCGTACGAATGTAATGAATGTGGGAAAACCTTCCGCCTGACTACAGCTCTTAATCTGCATAGAAGAATTCATACTGGAGAGAAACGTTATGTATGTAGTGAATGTGGGAAGTTCTTTAACCGGAGGGCAAATTTAACACGCCATCAGAACATTCATACTAGAGAGAAACCTTATCAGTGCAATGAATGTGGCAAGGCTTTCTGCCAGACCAAAGAACTTACTCGACATCAAAAGATTCATACAGGAGAGAAACCTTATGAGTGTAATGAATGTGGGAAGGCTTTCTTTCAGAAGAGAGACCTTACTCGACATCAGAGTATTCATACTGGAGATAAACCTTATACATGTAATCAGTGTGGCAAGGCGTTTCGACATAGTACAGTTCTAATTGGGCATCAGAGAGTTCATTCTGGAGAAAAGCCTTATGAATGTAAGGAATGTGGGAAGTCTTTTACTTGGAGAACATATCTTACTCGACATCTGAGAGTTCATACTGGAGAGAAACCTTTTCAGTGTAATGAATGTGGGAAGGCCTTCTTTCAGAAAAAAGGACTTACTCGACATCAAAAGATTCACACTGGAGAGAAACCTTATGAATGTAATGAGTGTGGGAAAGCTTTCCGCCGGAACACAGACCTTACACAGCATCAACGAGTTCATACTGGAGAGAAGCCTTACATATGTAAAGAATGTGGGAAGGCCTTTAACAGGAACACACACCTTACTCAACATCAGCGAATCCATAAGGGAGACAAACCTTATCAATGCACACAGTGTAGGAAAGCCTTCTTTCACATAAAGGAGCTTGTTAGACATGAGAGAGTTCACACTGGAGAGAAACCTTATGAATGCACAGAATGTGGGAAAGCCTTCTTTGAGAAAAAAGAACTTAACCGACACCAGCGGATTCATACTGGAGAAAAACCTTATGTATGCGTAGAATGTGGCAAGTCCTTCCTCCGAAAGACACATCTTATTGTGCACCAGAGAGTTCACACTGGAGAGAAACCTTATCAGTGTAATGAATGTGGGAAGGCTTTTTGTCAGAGCTCAGCTCTCTATCTACACCAGAGAATTCACACCGGAGAGAAACCTTATCAGTGTAGTAAATGTGGGAAGGCTTTTTGTCAGAGCTCATCTCTTAATCTACACCAGAGAGTTCACACTGGTGAGAAACCTTATGAATGTAATGAATGTGGGAAGGGTTTCTGCTTGAGCACAGCTCTTACTGTGCATCAAAGAGTTCACACAGGAGAAAAACCTTATGAATGTGATGAATGTGGGAAATCCTTCATTCGGAGGACACACCTTACTCGACATCAGAGAGTTCACAATGGAGAGAAGCCTTATGAATGTAATGAATGTGAAAAGTCTTTTAGTCAGAGGTCACATCTTACTAAACACCAGAAAGTTCACATTTGAGAGTTTGATGAATAATGAAAGGGATGGGGAGAGCCTTCTCTTAGGAGTATAGTTTTTATGTTTATACTAGAAATCTTTTGAATGTATAATGAATGTAGGAATTTGACATCATCTGATACTGGAGAGAACCCTTAATACTGTAAAATCTTTTGAAGATCATCAATGTCAGACAGATTTTAGGCATTGCACACACTTAGCTAAAATCAGTAGAACGCTAAGTAAAAGGAAACCTCAGAGAGAGATCCCAAATTTTCCGTAGTGGTTTTGTCTGCTCAAGTCCCCATGTTTATTTCAGGTGACAAGCTGTTTTCTTAAAAATTTTGGTGAATCCCACAAGTTCTCCCTCATTTTCTCTATAAATTCAGAATCACCATCTGGCTTTTTTCCCCCTTTTTATCATACAGGAAGATATTTTAGATTCCTAAGTATAGGTAGGAAGGGATCGCAGGAATCACTTGATTCAGCCCTCTCTTTTTATGATTGAGGACATGGGCCCAAAAGTTTATGTGTCTTTTTCAAGGTCACATAGTAAGTGATAAGAGTCAGGTTTCAACCCCAGGTCCTTTGACAGCCTTTGGCCTTTCCATGGTACCACACATTCCCTTCTCTTTGGTAAGGCTTCTCTGCCTGTGCCCTTGATTAAATTTCTCCCTCACGTTCTAGACCTTATTCTGGAAGTAATTCCCTCTTACGCACCTTCAGTCTCTCCACTGGCTCCTTGCCAGCTGCTGATAGACATGTTTTTGTCTTGTTACGGGATGTCCTAGCTCTGTCTTCCTCGGTTAACAATTGATTATTTCTAGCTGTTTGAATGGGAGGAAGCCGTAGAATAGCTCACCCCTCCCCCACGCATCTCCTGCCAGCATCGGAATGTTGGGATGTATGTGGCTGGGTGTCCCCGAGGGATCCTGTGGACTGGACTGACAGAGTCTGACTTGTGTGTCAGACCGTGCTTTTACTTGTATTACCTCCTGGCAGAGCTGTTGGCAGGAGGTATGGCATTGAGTTACAGCTTTGGGCCTTAGCATTAGAGCAGGTGGCTAGAAGCATGTGGCCTAGTTTGACTGAAAGCAGTAGGTAGGGCCACTGCAGTTGTGCCCTTTGGCCTTATTTCATTTCTCCTCCCTGCTCTCTGCTGAGGGAGCAGGAACCCAGGGACTTCCCCTCTTCCTTGTTTACTTGCACGGTCAATGGGCACGTGGAGATCCTGCTCCTGTCTTCTGAGCCGAGTGGAGAAGTAGAGCTGTTTCTCATTTTCCTCCTTTTCTTTTCCTCCGCTTCCCTCCTTTCTTTCCAGACTCCTTCCTGCCCCCAGCATGAATCCTCTCTGCCAGTTCTGGAACCATGATCAAATCCACTCTGGCATTGTTCTGGCCTCCAAGGGTCAGTGTGCTCCCCTCTGGCCCCACTGACCTCTGCTGTAACCAGGGTGCCCCTCTGTGGTCACTGCTCCACTATGTGTGCTTTCTCAGTATCCCCATTGGAAGGTAAGCTTGTTGAGGGCAGGGTCTCTTGTTTTCTGAGTTATCTCCCCAGTGCTTAGTACGGTGCTTGGCATTTAATAGATGCTGTTTCATTCATTCAGTTTCCCATTCCCTTGAGGTAAAAGTTTCCCAAGTTCTGGCATCTGGCTCTCTTATTCCATACTTTCTGTTGAGACTCTCCCATAATTAAGATAACCAAGGTATATACTTGTATAAGGAGCCAGGATTGAGGAAGAAATCAGGAGAGGGGCTTGGACAGCAGCTGGATGATCTCATAGAGTTATAACCCAAACCTTTCCAACCTCAGCCTTGCACATACAGAGTTTGTTTTAGTGATGTCCTTTTTTGCACTAATTTCTCAACACACACCACACACCGAACCCTCGTAACAAATGACAAGCAAAAATGAACGCTTCTGAGAGTGTGTTCAACGTTCTTCACCTGCAACCCCTCCCCCTCTCTACCTTGGGGAGGAAAGTGGGTGTGTTTTGTTGTTTTCTCCAAGTTTTGCCATTTTAAAATTTCTGTCTGAAGTGTTTTATCTCAGAAGATGCAGATAATGACTCAGTAGTCCTTGAAGTGAAGCTTCAGACCAGACTCAGTATTATCAACAGGAAAGGTTCTTTCCCCCCAGGAGTCCAATTGGTCACAAAAGTAGGGAGAAGTTAGGATGATCAGTGCCTGAACTGAGGAAACTATTCACAAGTAAGTATGGTAAGTACTGACTAGAGTAGAGGACGTGGTATTGTTGAAAGTAGACTGGGCGAATCACAGATTATGCAGGTGTATGCCGGGGCTATTCTAATAACGAGAAACAGTGGAAGCAGGATGTCGTGGATCGTCGAGTTGCGTTTGGAGGGGGTGAGGGAGGAGCCGTGCCTGTGGACACTGGGAATGGTAGAGAATACTGAATGTGAAGTGCTGTATTCTGAAGGAAGAAATTTTATGTATGTTTTATGTTGCAAGCGTATTTCTCCCTGCTGCTAGCTGGAGCTAAGTGGGCCAGTCACGTACTTAGATAAATCCAGGGTTCATCTACATTATTCCCTGACCTCCAGTAACCATGGTTAAGAAGGAGCAAATATCAGAGGTTCACCTGTCGCCTTTCAGCAGAGTGCTTTTTGCTATGTGGGTGTGGGAGATGCCTGTTGAAACTCTTGCTGATGGAGGGGTAGTTCTTTTGTGATAGATAATCTTAGAGAGTTGCTTGCGATGCTGAATGCATAGCTGACTTGCTCATGTTTGCACAACCATTATGTATCAGAGGCAGGACTTGAACCCAGGTCCTCCAAGGCTGGTCCTCTGTCCCCTACACCAAAAAGCCTGTATTTTTAAAAGATAACAGTTAAAAGTTGAATCCTCATACCTCTGTGTAGTGAAGGCAGGAAGGGGTGAGCATCTTTGTGCTCATTCACAGAGATTAAGTTTGAATTATCACTATCATTGTAGGCTATGTGTTAGTGTTGTGTTGATTTTCCCAACAATAATGCAACAGGATTTTATGGGTGAAAAACAACCAGTTAAAACTGTGAATGGTAATGGTCTGAATTCAACCTGAAAAATGAAGCAAGTTGTGGGACAAGTAAGAAAACAACACTATATTGCCTAAAAATAACAAAGCAGAGATTTATACATACAAATAATGTTAAAATAAAATCTGGTTTGCCTCAGATGAATTGTAAAGAGCAGGAGTTGCAATCATCACTTCTGATGAGGCAAAAAATTGTTCGTGTTCTAATGCATAAAGAACTCAGTCAAAAGTAGAGATCTTAAATACTTTTTAGATCTTTCTTATTTGGACTTATGATTTCCTCAAGGAATTCCTTAATGTGTAAAGTCCCTCCACTGATGCAGATTGGGAACTCATCTGTAATTTGTAGTGTCTTGAGGCAGAGTTTAACATTTGCTCAGAGTCACTCAGCTAGTGTGTCAGATGTAGGACTTGAATCCAGATCTTAATTCTAAGACTGTCTCTCTATCCATGTTTGGTCTCAGAGCACTTCAGATCATAACACAATTAAAAATTATAACCGACAAGTTAAAATATGAACAAAGGATGTAGTAGTCCGAGCTGTCTGAATGGGGACCCAGCTGACCGGTTCCAGTTGGGCAATTCAGCTTGTCCCTCTTCCCTCCCCTCCCCTCCCCTCACCTCTCCTCTCCTGTCCTCTTCTCTCCTCTCTGTTACCTGAGGGTGTTCTGCCCAAAGGAAGGTGACTTTTGATGACCAAAAGCTGCCTAGTTACTTTGGGGTTACTGGTTAGATTTCTTTCTCAAAGACTAAGTCTTAAACCCAATTCACTCTGGATCTCATGGATTGGACAGCAGGAGGTCCCTGCCCAAGCACCACTTAATGGTTATTTTTTGGGCCCTTCTGGCTCAGAGTGAATGTAAATAGTGACTGTTTCTCTTTTGCCCAGCAACCCTAAGGATCTTCCCCTCCCCATTTTATTTATTTATTTATTTAGTAAAAGGGCCATCCCTTGACTCACTTGTTGCCTCACTCAAAGTAAGAACCTAAAAAGACCTTAGCTTAAAAGGGCCAGGGTCTCCCACTGCATCCTGGGCCATCTCCAGCCATACTGATGGTCACCGGACCCAGATGGCTCTGGAGGAGAAAGTGAGGCTGGTGACCTTGCACAGCCCTCCCTCACTCAAATCAAAGTCAATTGCAAGTCTTGTCATTTCCCTGCAGTCATGGGCCTCTTCAAGAACAAAGGACAGGTTCTGTACAACCACAACTTGTACAGAGGCATCTATCTGGTGGTGCAGTGGAGAGAGCACTGGGCCCGAAGTCTGGAAGACCTGAGTTCAAAATTGAGGCCACACTAGCTGTGTGACCCTTGGCAAGTCACTTAACCTCTGCCTCAGTTTCCACAACTGTAAAATGGAAATAATAAAATGGGGCTCCTAATAGTACCTACCTCTCAGGGGTGCTGTGAGGATAAAATGAAGTTTTTTTTTAAGTGCTTAGCGCAGTACCTGGCACCGAGGAAGTGCTGTACAAATGCTACTTCCCTCCTCTCCCTTTCCCTGCTTTGTGCTTATGTAATTGTTAATGGCATCTACAGACGATGCATTCTGAAAGTTACTGCAAAATTTCCTGCCCTCTTCCTATGCTGGAAGCAAGATCTTTCATCTCCTTCTCCTTGGTAGAGGTCAGAGCTGCCCGCTTTTTGGAATCTTGTTACCTGAAAGTCTCATTTCAGCTGCATGAGGCCACTTCATTTTATTGTTTTGTGAATCGATTTTTTCAGTGATTAGGTATTGATGGGGTTTTTTTTTCCCCTCTCTCCTACCTCTTCTCCAACTGGGGGAAAAAAAGAGAAAGGAAAACCCTTGTTCCAGATACCCATATGGACCAGAAATGTGTGTTTCACAGTGCCCATTTAGTCCATCACCTCTGGTAGGTGGATAGCCTCAGGTCCCCCAGGTGTGACTGTTCTCTCTCCAACCCCCCCCCCCCATTACTTTGAATTTACTTTGTATATACTTAGCTAGAGCAGAAGCTTGGCGTCAGGGAGACCGAATTCAAATTCTGCCTCAGTTACTAATTGTGTGACTGTGGCCAAGTCACTTAGCTTCTGTTTGCCTCAGTTTCCCCATCTATAAAATCAGTGCAGTAGAAGTGCTACCTATGATTATGTAGCACATCTCCCCTTCCTCCTTCAGATCTTAGCAGAGATTCACACTGTCCGCGCTGGACAGTGAGGTAGAGTCCTGTGAGTATGTGGGTTCTTCTTAACTATCGGTTTTTCAGCCTCTTTCTGGCCTGCATACTCCCACCCAGGTATAGGTCCCTTTCCATGACTCTCTTCAGCCGGCATGCACTCATTGAGCAGTATGGGGGTGGTCCAATCAGAAGAGTGGCTGTTGTTTGCCTACCTTGACTTTGACCTTGGAGAAAGAGCAAGGTGCTGTTAAGGCCTGCCTCTCTCACCACTCCCCCCTTTTCAGTATTCATTGCCGTTTAAAGGATTATAACATGTATGGTCTGGATCTCTCAGTGGGAAAACTCGCTTTACATACATCATCACCATGTTCTTCATTCATCCAACAAACACTGGAGGCCTACTATGTGCCAGGCACTGGGGATGCAGATATAAAAGGGAACCAGCTCCCGCCCTCAGGAAGCTTTCATTCATTTGGGGGGAGACAACATAGAAACACAAAAGTAAAGACAGTATACTGTGTAATTTTGAGGGGAAGGACTAGAAAGGGGGGATCTGGATAGACTTATTTTGTTATTTATCCCTAGTGCTCCAGAAGTCCTTATTTCTATTGAAGGGACCATCATTTTCCAAGTCAAAGCCTTGGAGGCTGTCTCTGTCGCCTGCCATATAAAAGTGATGGCTGTTGAAATGATCTGCTAATGGGATTCCCTGCTTCCAGTCTCTTCCTTCTCCAGTCTACACAACACACCTGTCAAATAAGCTCATGAGCAGTTACCCCCTAAATAAAGCCTTTTAATCTCGGCCTGAAGTTTTTTTTTTTTTCCTTCTTTTAAATGGTATCTTATTTACTCCAATTACATGTAAAAGCAGTTTTTAACATTCATTTTTAATAAAATTTTGAGGTCCAAATTTTCTCCCTCCTTGCTGAGACACTAAACGACTTGATACAGGTTATATATGTGCAGTCGTGTAAAATATTTCCTTATTAGTCATGTTGTATAAGAAGAAACAGAACAAAAGGGAAAAAAACTATGAAAAGAATAAAGAGAAAATAGTATTTAGCCTGCAGTTCTTAGGGCTCTCTTCCTCCTTAGATTATTTTGTCTTTCCTGATCTGAGTGGAGCTTTCCTCATTCCTTTCCCTTCCCCGTAGTAGAATATCAGGCTCAGGGCAGAGACTGTTTCTGTATTTTTCAACCCAGTGCACAGTAAGGTGCTGTAAGAATTGTTGGCTTGAACAAACTTAATATGGATACTTGTAAAGTTCTGTGCTCGGGTCCATACAATCAGATTTCCCAAGTACAGGACATGGAAGATGTGCCTGGGATGGGGGAAATGATGTCCACAGTGCCGTCTCCATTGGTTGGGTTAGATCTCAGGGTCAGTGTTCACTGCTGAGGGCTACATTTTAGGAATGATTAATGAGAGCAGTCCCAGGAGAGCAACCTGTGTGAAGGAGCTGGGAAGCAACCAGCCTAGGAAGAGACTCGGGCTGGAGCATGGGAGCATGCGATCTGTCTTCAAGTATCTGAAGACCTGTTTATGTGGACCAGGGATGAGGCTTGTCCTGGGTGGCAGTGGGGGAAGTGACAAAGCCTACCTGGGAACAGCAAGCAGGTCCCTCCGGGCAATGTAACGTGTTTGAAGGGGAGTGAGGCAAACCAAGTTTGGAGAGACCAGCCCGGTTAGGAAGGACTTGAAAGGCCAAATAGTTTATATTTCGTCCTGGAGGCCAGAGGGGAACCACGGGAGCTTTTGAATAGGGGAGTGACGTGGTCAGACCTCTGTCTGAAGAAGATCGATTTGGCACCTTTGGAGGATGGATTGGAGTATTCAGTGCCTGGAGGAAGGGAGATCAGTTAGGAGGCTGTGGCCATGGTCCAGGTAGTAGGCCAGGGCTCACTCGCGACAGTCTGATAGTTCAGTTTCTAGATTGGAATGAAATGAGACTGGTAGTCTATCCATCAGTGATCCAAAAGAGGTTTGCTCAGCTGTAGCATGGAATGGCTATTTAGCAAAGATGCAACATTGATTCATTTGGTGTGACTTCTCTTTCCTCGGTGTTGCCTATTCTGGTCTGCTGGTCAGAAGCCTGTGAGAAGAATTGCCTTTTCCTGGCTTTCTTGTACCTGAGCCACCAGGAAGCTCTGTCAGTGACCTGAACCTTAAGTTACAGTTAGGTTACAAAGATGGTATCAATACCTTTTAAGGAAAAACCAGCCTAGCTTGCATGGAGTCACACCTAAGGATATCACCCCTATCAGACCTGGGATCTGTCAATTCAGGGGTGGTACGAGTGTAATGATGCAGAAAAGGAAAATGGGAAGGAACAGCCACAGAGGTAGGAAGAGAACTAGGAGAGAGCAATGTTTGGAAAACCCAGGGAGGAAGGACTGTCCAGGAGAAATGCTAGTGCACCGAGAGGAGAAGGGGTCAGCGGTGGCAAAGACTGCAGAGAGGGCAAGAAGGACGGGGATGGAGAAAAGGCCTCTGGGTTTGGTGTTGCCATGAAGTGATGCTTGGGAAGGCAGTCTCTGTTGTTAGTACTCGGATAGTTAGGGCTGTTCTCCTGTGAACCAGCCACTGGCAACATGGGTCATTTCTGGCCTTCTGCTGCTGCAGCAAAGAAAGTGATTGTACTTAAGTCGATGGATTTCTCTATTTCCTTTCTGGCAACCTTGGGGTATAGACCCGGGTCAAATAGCTTTGTGGGCTTTGCTCTGTTCTGATTGTGTCACAGTGGCCTGTTTCTCCAGAGCTTCACCAACATTGGATCTTAACATTCCATATCACAGTTATCCCTTCACATCGCAAGGGTTAGGGGCGCTGGAAAAATCCGTCTAAAATTTTTTGGCCCTCCCTTCGTACTAGAGAAGATGTCCGAATTACTATGGTATTAAAAGATAAAATATGTTGATATTATACAATATTATACATATATTTTATGCATTTCTGAGTTTCTAAACTTTTATGTGTGTTGTCTACTGGCCTTTGCATGTCATCTGTGGCTTCTGTAAAACTCCCCCAAAATTCCCATTTAATTTCTTACGCTGACTCATAATATATTGAAACTGCAATGGGGAAAGTTGCCGTGTGGAAGGAATAACTGTATTTTGTTTAATTGGTGGTGTATTAGGGTTGTTCTTAATTACATTTGTTTGTGTACTGGGGAGTTTGAACATGACAATTTTTATGTTTCCTCTAAGAAATGGCATCTTTTGTAAATTTATGTCAATTTGTTTTACATTTTGAATGTCAAAATCTCTTTTATATAAGCAAATTCATCAATTTTTTCTGTAGTGATTTATGGTTTGCTGAATGGATCAGAGTTTCCTTTGTCTCCACAAATATGATAGATGTGTCATTTTGGCTCGTAATAATTTTTAACATGTTTTTCTTTTCTTATATATTTGTACCACTGATCTACTTGGAAGTATTCTAGTATCTATAGCATCAGATGGGGATCTAATCCCAGTTATCATTTCACAGCTGTCCAGTTTCCACAAATATTACCGAATAATGAGTCCTGTGCACAATGTTATGTCATCTAGGATTTGTTAAATGCTCCTCTGCTGGAAACTTTTTATTCTCTTTTTGGAATGTCTTTTCTGCCCCCCATATTTATTTTTCCAGCTTTAGTCTAAACATAGATAGCTTTCACAATGACAGCTTTGTAGGGGGAGGTGAAATCTCTCACGGTAAGGCTTTTTCTCTTCCTTCTGACCCCCCCGCCCCAGTGCTCCTTAATGTCCTCATCTGCTTATGTGTTTTCCACATAAATTTTGTTGTCACTTTATTTCTATAAGAATGCCTATTGGTAT